CCTGAAAGGGGGGTGCTGTTCCACTTAACAGCCTAGCTACGGAACAAAAGAAAGCAGCTTCTTACTCTTCTGCCTCTTTCCCAACCCGTCTACATCCCATTCCCCACCCCACCGGCTGGGGGAATCCCCCTCTTGCATGATCTACCGTCTTTCCACAAAAACAAGACAGGATCTTATTTTCTTTTGAGCCACAAAATATGGCTTGGGCCTTATTATTGAGGGAGGGCTTATTGTTTTGGAGTTGCTAGGTGGCTGCTCTTTAGAGCCTGGCACAGCCTCAGGGGTGAATGGCCGTGTTGCACTGTCGCAGCAGCACAACACAGCAGCCATGAGGCGACCACGTTCATGAGCAGCCGCCCAGCAAACCCCCTTTCCAGCCGGGCACAGCGCCATTCACTGACCTAGAGATATTCTGAAAACGTTAAGCCGTGTGAGCACCTGTTCCCCACCCCCCCCGTGGCTCGGCACCTTGGGGATACTGCTAGATTGGTGACTGGCGCTCTGCCTGGCCAGAGGGGGGGGGGTGTCCAAGGGGCTTATTTTCAGGGGAGGGCTTATATTTTTGCCCACCTGAAAAATATGGCATGGCCTAGTTTCAGGACATGTCATATTTTCGGGGAAACATGGCACCTTCAAAGGAATGTTTATGGAAGAGAAAAATTGTAGTTCCCACAGCATGGCCTGTCCCGGTTGAAGCCGCTGCCATTTCTGAGCTGGATTCACCTGGCTTCTAAAATGGGGAGAAGGATTCGTAAAAGTTTATTAGAAAGTGGGGGGGGGGGGGAAACATCCCAGAACTTGAAATGTCACCTTAAGGAAAAAACAGGACATGGATGTTACAAAGCTTTTAATAGAAGCTAAAGGCCAAAGTCCAACAAGCAATATACAGCGAAAAAGTACAAAAATTCGGGTGAAGAACATATCGTAAGAGCTAAGAGAGAAGGCCACAATTTCTCAAGAAACCAAGAGCTGAACTCTACTTGCATCTAAGGTGGGCAGGAGACCTCTGGGTATTTTGGATGGTGCCAACCACCATCTTGTATCAAGGGCTACTAATGGGAGGAGGGCAGAAAGAGGAAGGGGCCACTTGCTTAGTGTCGGTTCCACTAATGGAAACCCTTCTCAACCTCTACCCATTTGAGGCACAAGGACTCTTCCTGCATGCCAAGGCTAGATAAGGAGGCAGCTTTCCATGGCTGTTCTCCTGTGCTGGGGAATTGCCTTTTCCCACTGCCCGGCCTCCGTGGCCCACAGCCTCAATCCAGTTAACCAAGAATCCTGGCCACTGTCAGTCTGGTGGGGCTGGGGTGCGGGGAGGACTTTGGCAAGGAAAACTGCTCCTACAGCTGCCATGGTCATCTCTCTAAGGTTGGCACCACACCGGCATGTCTCAGTCATCCAGGTCATAATAGTCATAATAATAATAATTATTATTATTTTCAAAAGGCAACTGGAATGTTCTTTCCCTCCTTCCATCGTCCCAACCATCCTGCCAGAACTGATGAAAGTTCTTGAAATATCTTCTTCTTCGGGAGGGGAGGGGGGGAATCCAGTTGCCTTTAAAAAAACACCTTTGAGACATCCCACCTGCATTGTCCACTCAGCTTGGACAGTCACACAACTGTCAGTCATCCAAGGCAACAGTGAAGCAGGTGAACGGGCACAAGCCCCATCCAATAGGAATTAAGTGCTTTGCGACCAAGATCAGTACTTTGCTACTTAGATCGACTTTTGTCTCTTTATTTTACTGTCCGAATCTACATGGGACGATATACCTCTGTCTAATCTTCCCCTAACTCTCTTGAACTTGAGAAGTATCTTGAGTGAATCTGGCTACTACATGAGTTGCATCAATAAATATATACCTAAAACCATGTTAAAACGTTTTAACCACACCTTTCTACTGGAGAGGCTAATCATTTCTTACCCTACCTAGAAAAAATTAAACTCTGGTTCTGCCAGCCTCTTGAGGATTTAGAAGCCCTGTCACCCCTGCCCATCCGGAACACAGCCAGCCTCCTGTCCAGTCAGGTCCCAACCAGCCCTGGCAAAAGAGGTCATCCAGGAATTGATCTCAAGGCAGCTTTGAACAGGGTCCTCCTTGAATTTTTACCCTTTGCTGGAGAGCTTCCAGCAGTCTCTTTGTTCCTAAAACCGCCAACCAGCCCCTTTTCAATCCTTTTGGGAGGTGAGGATGCTGCTCCCAAGGGCCTTGTGGAAAGCTCAATATAAAAAGAATGCACACTGTGGTTTGGCTCATTATCATACAAGGGGAAAAAGTGTTTTTATCAAAGTCAGTAAAATCCAAGTTCATCCTGGCCATCTGGACATGCCGGCCAGCAGCTACGTAACGTGAACAAGTCCAGTTCAGCTCATCAACAGTCCACAAAGGAAAAACCAAGGATGCCACAACCAGGAGATTCCAGTCATGGGCCGATGCTCCATCTAAGGTCCTGCGCGAATTAAAAGTTCAGAAGCCGCGTGGTTTGGCACACACATGCATGTGCTCACTGCATCACCTGACCTTGTGGGGGAAGAGCCTCAGTCTGAACAGGGGCCCAGCCCCAAGACAAGTTATACAAAGCCACACAAAGGCACTGCTAGAAGATCAGCGCCTCCCAATCCCAAGAGAGTTAATTTCACCTGTTGCAAAGAGGGAGTAGTTGTCATCCAATGCCTTCAATGTAGCACACAGGACGGCACATCACCACCAAGGGCCAAGCATTGGTGAACCTTCCAAGGGACAACAGCAAAGAATCGTATTTAGGAGTAGACCAACCGAGGGGGGCTTTTCAAAGTCAAAGGAAGTTACTTTCAACCGTCAACAAAAGCCCAAAGCATTTTCTCCGGAGCAATGTATGGGCTCCAGGGTCCCCCAGATTTTGTGGAGTTTCAATGTAAACCTGAAAGGGGGGGGGACAGGGAGACTTAGCGTTATCTTAACAATCCTCTACTTTGCACAATGTTGCCCGAGGCGTTTCTTGTGCTCTTCATACGGACATCCGGTCAGTAAACCAAAACGTTTCTCTCCAGTAGATAATGCTTCCAGATTCCTTTTAAAAATATGCCTGCACCGCTCAGGACTCAGATTTGTGAAGTCACCAAGTCTTTCCTGGAAGTGCAGCTCCAGATATCCCAGTGAGGACTTTTCAAGATTTTGGCACTTGTGTGAGTTTCATGTTGTATGGCTTGTTTCGCAAACTTCCATTTCAGGTAGCAAGAAGTGGGTCAGCTGGCCTTTTTATCTGGAGAACAAGATTGGGTTCACCTATCTCTCTGCTATGCCTTGCTTAAATCACATTTTGTTGACTAAACTATGATTGGCTAGGTTTGCAGAATGCATCCACTTAAGTCAAGGCAAACCATGAAATGGCTTGGTGTTACAAATGCAGCCTGATACTAGCAGGTTCCACTCAAGACCTGAAAGGGGGTCAGACCCACACCTGAGCAATAGCTTACCTGACTTGGCACCTGTTTCTCCATCTAATGAGCCCAGGGAGCTAGAACTGGGTGCCCCTCTGCACCATTTCCAAATTTCTACTAGGCAGCCTTTAACAAGGCACAAGGAATATTTTTAGCAGGTCAATGGATGGGGAAAATTAAATGCACTTAAGTATATTTTATTTTATGGCAGTTTCTGGACATTTCAACATCTAATTTGAAATATCAATTTAATACCAAACAACTATTTGAGATGATTTTTTTCTATTTATACCTTCTTATCAGAAAATCCTCATTTAAATGTCCCCGTGAGGTTCCTGTGTTGTTAGCCAAAGAAAAAATGTTTTTACCCAATTTGGGGTAATTTACCCAAGTTTGGGAAGCATCATCCTAGCAACAACCAAATAATGTA